ATGAATAAGAGAAGGGGGAGATAAGGAGGAGGAGATTGTTGGGCGAAGAAGAAGAGCCTTGTCATCATCTTTGCTGGTGTACACCTTCTTCTTCTTCTTTCTCATTTCTTCTTCTTCTTCTACTCCTCTCTCTCCTCTCAAGTTCATTCATTTCCTTCTGCAATTGGATGGCATTGTACTCCTCAGTGGATGTGTATCTCGAAATTGGCCAGGGTCGTAACAAAGGTACCTTCCAAGCCTCGCGGACCCAGCAACTGCGCCTTTATTTCAAAGTGGGATGCCGCTTTCACCACCGGTCCAGGCCTGAATTGAAATGCTCCTGTCTCTTATACACATCTAGATGTGTATAAGAGACAGGAGAGAGAGAGAGAGAGAGAGAGAGAGAGAGAGAGAGAGAGAAAGAGAGATGAAGTGGCCGCATGCGCATAGCCATAGAGGTGCACTGGAAACATGCACCCTACCGGTAGGGGGATATGGAAACTTTGGGTTCTGGTACTTAACGGTTTTATTTATTTATTGGAGGGTGAGGTCTGTCAGACTTGGAGGTTATGCAATATGATGTGGGCAAGAGTGAGGACCCGAGAAAAGACAGGTTGACAGGAGGGGTAAGAAATGCAAGGGTAAATTCTCACCGTCGGGATGCTGTTGGTTTTGTCGCACCTGGGGTGTGAATAAGGTTTGGGTCCAGATCCAGGAGGACGGCGAGTAGCTCAGGAGTATGAACCTGGTCCATCCTCCGTTCACTTTGCGCGTCAGGAGGCTGGCGGGAGGTGGTTTAGACTGGGTACAGTGTAACTAGGGATCAGGAAGGAGTGTCGAAGGTGACATGGAGACGGTTCTTCACCTAGTCCACATTAGACTGGGTACAGTGTAACTAGGAAAAGTAGAGTTTGTGGCCCTATGTGTGTGTGCATGTGTTAGAGAGAGAGAGAGAGAGAGAGAGAGATTCTTCTTTTTCGAAAATTGTTGATCATTTCTCGATTTACGAGTGTCAACCTCTGCCTAGGCGGCATGCTAATCTTCTCCGCATCATTTCAATTTGATCGAAAATGTCGGCAAAAGAGAAGCACACAGAGACATCACGTACACGGGCAGCTCTCTCTCTCTCTCTCTCTCTCTCTCTCTCTCTCTCTCTCTCTCTCTCTCTCTCTCTCTCTCTCTCTCTCTCTCTCTCTCTCTCATACACACGCGCACACACATAGGGCCGTTCCGCGGGTACGAGGCATTGCCGTCACATCAAAGCATTGACGTCAACCGCACCGTACTGTTGGACTCGACACGACGACCAAACCGCCCACCCTCTCCGCTCCACACAGGCGTTCTATTCGGGGGAAACAGGAAACAGGTTCGGTCAGGTAAAGTTGGTGGACCGCATCGTAGAGCATCCGAGGATGGGTGGATTGATGCTGCTGGCGTGGTCATTAGTCATCATTAGTCATCTATTGATCGAGCAACAACCAAGCTTAATCATTCTAACACTCATCGCGACAACCAGCAACCGCGGAATATCGGACGGCTGAACTGCGTCGATCCGACACAACCAATCAACCAAGCTCAATCAAACATCAAACATCAACGACCAGTACTCGGACGGTTAATTGGATCGGATTGGATAGGGAGAAGAAAATCTGACGGCTGAGATGTGTGGTTGTAAGTGGGAACGTATTCTGTATGTGGATGGAGCTCACGAGCTCAATCTCTCGGTCGCTCCCAGAAGAGAGAGAGAGAGAGAGAGAGAGAGAGAGAGAGAGAGAGAGAGAGAGAGAGAGAGAGAGAGAGAGAGAGCATGTTTTCTGTAGATAGGGCTCGCTAGCTCATTCTCTCGGTTGCTCCTTTGGGCGGGGGGTGAGAGAGAGAGAGAGAGAGAGAGAGAGAGAGAGAGAGAGAGAGAGAGAGAGAGAGAGAGAGAGAGAGAGAGAGAGAGAGAGAGGCAGGCATGGATGAGGAGCAGAGAGAGAGAAAAAGAAGGTCGTGAGGAGAGAAGATTCTTCAGGAAAGCGATGGTGGGTCGTAAATGTTAGCGGGTTACGTACGATGAATGGTATGTGGACCACCGTGGCCACAGGTTGCCAGCTCAGCATCGGATCTGGCATCCACGTGGCAGTAATCTGACGGTGTCGGTGTTGCTGCTGGCTGTTAGGTGAACATCTCTAGAAGGCCAACCACCGCGGCACCTTCACCTCTTTTTTTTTTCTTTTCCTCCCTTGCGACACATTGGTTGATTGGATATCATTGATAGGCTAAGCTGTGTAGTACTGATCCGAAAATCATAACATTTAATAAAATCATATTTATTTTTCAGTGATTTTTAAATAGTTTTTTATTTTCTCGATTGGTGCGTATCATCCTCGCGCAAGGGCCGTGCGAATTGCTTTTTTTTTTTTTTTTTTTTTNCTTTCTTTCTCATTTTGCACATTTGGTTGGTGAGTAATGGAGCGAGGCTCAAAAAACAAAAACAAAAAAAAAGAGTGAGGCCCATTAACCGCGGTTAACCAAGTAAAAAAAAAAAAAAAAAAAAAAAACAACACGAAAAAAATAAAGACCACTACTTAGGTTCCTGTGAACTGCTGGTTTAAAGTTTAAACCACCAATACTTCCAAAAGTCACCATGGTATACAAGTGTACAAGCCGCAACGTGCTGGGATGAACGGGCCTGGGGCGCTGGTCTAAATTCATTCAAGTGGAAACATTGCATCATTGTAGCGGTATACAAGCCGCAATGTGCTGGGATGAACGGACCTGGGGTGCTGGTCTAAGTTCATTCAAGTGGAAGTGGAAACGTTGCGTCACTGTAGCAATGGCTGGCGGTATACAAGCCGCGACGTGCTGGGATGAACGGGCCTGGGGCGCTGGTCTAAATTCATTCAAGTGGAAACATTGCGTCAATGTAGCAATGGCTGGCGGTATACAAGCCGCGAGTTTTGGACGTACTGGTGGTTTAAGGATCAAAAACTTTTTTAAACTTTTTTTCAATGAAGCGAGGCGAAGTTAAGCTAAGCAAAACTTACATGAATTGAATTCTTATCATCAAAAGGGCCAAGTGAAAGCAGCCTTCTGATCATTAAAAAATAATAATTAATTAAGGATAATAAAAAGAAGGGTATCCTCCAGTATGAACTGAGGGAAATTCCTTTTTCTGTTCTTCTAGTTTTAGTTATTTTTAAAAAGATTTGGACCGTTTCTCGGTTTATGCGGCTTGTCCTTGCGCACGGGCCATGCTAATTAAGCTTCTCTGTATCGTTCCAATTTTAACGGATGTCGGGAAGGACACTCAGGACATTTCCTTCTTCTTCTTTTTTTTTCTTGGGCTTCTTTTTGTGCCTGCGATTGCAGAGTCAGCAGGCATAAAAGAGAAGAGGACTATTTTCTCAGGGAACTCACAGGCAAGAAGGGAGGGAAAGAGAGGGGGAGGGGGAGGGAGAGGGGAGGAAGAGGGGGAGCAAGAAAAAAAAGGAAAAGGGGGGAGGTAGGCAATCTCCAAAGCATACAGTTATGGGTCCGAGCATCCTGTTCCTATCGGCAAGGACAGAAAAGAAGGAAAGTCAACGTGGCCAGGCTTAAAGCCCTTGAGAGAGGCCAAGAGAGAAAGGAGGAGGAGGACAGCTAAGGAGAACGGAGACTAGGCAGACGTAATGCAGGAGAGGCGGACGTACACCCACTGTCGAGAACCAGCAAAACAGATAGCAGTGAGATGGATATGGAAGCCGCCAACCTACGGGAGACTCCCCGAGCGTTCGTACTCGTGAGATGTACTCTACTTTGGCAACATTGAAACTCTCTTGCAACATTGGGCCCAGGTCCACTGCACAACATTTTGAATGTGTCTGGACCCCATAATGGTCCTGATAGAGAATGTTGGACCAGTTCGAATGTATATTGTCCATTACCTGTCCAGGTACACGAAAAATGCTGTGTAGTGGAGCGAGGCCCATTGACGCTCTTGCGACATTGACGAATATTAAGGGGATCAGGACAAATTCCATTTTTGCAAGAAGGACAACACAAAGACAACAACTTCCATATGCTTAACTGACTTAGCAGTCGAACACCCATGCACGGGGAGAGAGAGAGAGAGAGAGAGAGAGAGAGAGAGAGAGAGAGAGAGAGAGAGAGAGAGAGAGAGAGAGAGAGAGAGAGAGAGATGAGGGCTGAAAAGAGAGAGAGAGAGAGAGATGAGGGCTGAACGCAGAGTGACTGACGAGTTTCGAACAAGTGTGTGAAGGGGAAACAGCAATGGAGGGAGGTTGTTGAAAACTGTCGAGCTTAAGAGTAAACTGATTGTCCCCACATATATCGTCAAACAGAACTGCCAGGTAAAGCGTAAGACAGAGAGGGAGGGAGAAGAGGACAAGAAACAAGGGGCTGTGAGAAAAACTGTTTCATCGGAGTTTCACCGACTCATCAGGAGGCTGAACCCTGTATATATATTTGACTATATATATCGTCAAACACAGCTGCCCAGTAATAGATAGATAGATAGATAGATAGATAGCGGGACGAAAAGAGATTGTCGGTGATGATGTGATTGGCACATAGAACTGCCGGGGGGGGGAATGGTTGCATAAAGAATGCGCAGGAAAGATTTTTCTGAGTCCATGGTACAGTTTATTGGGGGTTCATTGGGGTAGAGTAGGTAGGTTGGTGGTGATTCATCATCAGGGAAGGGCACGAAAGGTGACAAAAAAATGGCTGGTGAAAAGGCACGGAAAAAGGGTTCCCCGTCTCCTACTCTCTCGAAGAATGGGAAAGGAAAAGGCGGAAAAGCAAAAGATGGTGCAAAAGGGGAAGCAGACAAGGCAGCTGATGTGGAGAAGAAGGGGACAGAGGGAGGGGAGGGGACAAGGCAAGGAGCAGGAGCTCCCGCAGCTGTGGAAGGAGAGAAAAAGCAGGAGGGAGGTGGTGTTGCAGCTGACCAAAGGGGAGCAGGAGACGACAGCAGCAGCAGCAACAAACCTGTTACCGATCAAGCATCGGCAACCCCAACGAAGGATGATGCCAGCGGGGCCAAGGACTGTCTCTTATACACATCTAGATGTGTATAAGAGACAGGAAGGGGACAGAGGGAGGGGAGGGGACAAGGCAAGGAGCAGGAGCTCCCGCAGCTGTGGAAGGAGAGAAAAAGCAGGAGGGAGGTGGTGTTGCAGCTGACCAAAGGGGAGCAGGAGACGACAGCAGCAGCAGCAACAAACCTGTTACCGATCAAGCATCGGCAACCCCAACGAAGGATGATGCCAGCGGGGCCAAGGACGGTCAAGTGGTACCGCCTGGTGCCATGGTGGTACCAACTGATGGGACCAAGGGAACAGCAAATCCTGGTCCTGGAACAGAGCCCACTGTCCCCAGACAAGTGCCATCGGAACCCACGCATGCCGTCTACCAGACCTCCTCCGTGGCGGCCACACAGGGAGATGCCACAGGAAGTGCCGGGCCCGGCAAAGACCCGGGGACCCTCCCTAACAGCCAACAACAGCCTGTGGCAAATGAGACAACCCCCCTTGGTAATAAGCAGTCCCCCGATGGAAGTCAGCAAGCAACCAAAGGGGTGGAAAATGGCCAAAAGGTAGAAGGGAAAGAAGGCAAGGGTCCTGCAGATGGACCTGCAGGTCCAGAAGCTGGAAAGCAGGGTGATCTAGCCAATTCAGGAGAGGTTGCAGTGAGCGGCACAACAACGGCGATGAATCAAGGGGGGGATGCTGCGCCCCCTCAACAAGGGGACAAAACTGGAGGGGTTGGAAATCAGGATGCCATTCCCACACAACCCCAAGAGGGGGGGGGAGGTTCAGTTCAGCAAGGAGACCCAGGCAAGGTTACCCAGGAAGAACAGAGTCAGCAGGGGCCTAAAGATGGTGCTGCTGAAGGAGGAGGAGGAGGAGGAGGAGGAGGCAGAAGACTCAGCACGACAACTGCACAAAGTCAGCAGGGGCCTAAAGATGGTGCTGCTGAAGGAGGAGGAGGAGGAGGAGGAGGAGAAGGAGGCAGAAGACTCAGCACGACAACTGCACAAGACACTAGTAAAACCGAGGGGGGTTCGGCGGCAATTGTAGGAGGAGATGCAGAGAAGAGGAGGGAAGGTTGGCAGGCAGGAGGGACAGGAGTTGTAGCAGAGGGGACTGCAGCAGCAGCAGGTGGAACGGAAGCGCCCGATGGCGGCAAACAAGATCCGGCTGACGCAACAGCAGCAAAATCAGACAGCACGAAGCAAGGAGAGACTCCAGTGGGAGAGGGAGAGAAAGGACCGGATGGCGGCAAACAAGGTCAGGCTGAAGCAGCAGCAGCGATATCAGAGGGTACCAAGCAAGGAGAGGCTCCGATGGGAGAGGGAGAGAGCAAACCACCTCCCACTTCAACAGCAGCCGAAGGATCAGAGGCGGTTCCCTCTCCCTCTTCCGCAGTCACCGAGGCGGCTAGCCAAGAAGCGAAAGGGGAGGGTGGAGGTGGTGGGGAGTCCGCAACGCCACAGCAATCTCCGACGACGGCAGAGTCTGCTGTTGAGGGTACCGCGGAGGCTGCGGCTTCTGCACCTGGAGCGGAGGAGGAGAAACACGCTGCTGATGCTGCCAAAGTGGAGCAACCAGAAATGACCATTGAGGTACCACACTCTCTCATGCATTCCATCTTCTCGTTTTTGTTTCCTCTTTTGTTTTGTTTTGTTTTGTTTTCTTGAGGGGGGGGACAATTTCTCGATCTGTGCCTGTCAGTCTTGTGCAAGGGCCATGCTAATTGTCTTTGTGTCATTCCAAATTCATCTCTTTTGTCATTTCTTCTTTTTCTTCTTTTTCTTTCGCTTTAGAAGGGGCTGGTTGTCCTCCTCCTTTTCGTAAGGGCGGGGGCGGGGGGGGCGGGGGGGGGGCAGGGGGGCCTATCCAATCCCTCTTATTTTGCCAGGATTTGAACCCACGATCTGTTTGTCAACAGTTACATCTGTACCATTCATTCAGCCACATGGTGTACCAAGTCTAATGGATTTCCAGAAAGTCGGTCCTTGCTTTGGTTTCTTTCTCATTTCCATACTTCGGTCCACTGCACAACATTTTGAATGTCTCTCCGCTCTCTCATTTTCCCGACCAATCCTTGGGAGCCGATTTGCAGCTCAGTCCCCGACTCTCCGGATTCCTCTCTGTTTTGTTGTTTTTCTCATTTGCTTCAACTCCCTCCCCCTTTCTCCCTCTTCCTCTCCTCTTCCTCTCCTCTTCTTCCCTCTTCCTCCCTCTACCTCCCAGTTCCTCTCCTCTTGCTCTCCTTCCTCTCCTCTTCCTCGCTCTTCCTCCTCCTCTTCCTCATGTGCTGTTTTCTGCATTCTCATCAGCATCAACTTCCTCCCTCTTCCTCCTCTTCCTCTCCTCTCCTCTTCTTTTCCCCTCTTCCTCTCCTCTTCCTCCCTCTTCCTCCCTCTTCTTCTCCTCTTCCTCCTCCTTCCTCCTCCCTCCCTCCCTCTTCCTCTCATCTTCGTTGTGATTCCCTTCACCGTTGTATATACTTTTTTTTATATTATTTTTATTTTGTTGGGGGGGGGGTGTATCCCTCTTGTGTTTGGGGGGGGGGAAGGGGAGTAATTCTCAATGCTGTTAAAGATGTGTCTATCTATACCACCCCCCTTCCTACTCCCAAGGGGTCTACTGCTACTGGTCGGTGACGCCACTCCTGTGGTGCCCCCCTGTACTGCATCTATCTACCCTTCCCACCTCCTCCCTCCCCACTCCTTTCTCTCCTTTGACTTTGACTTTGACTTTGACGCTTTTGTTAGTAGTCGTAGGGCAGATAGATATGACACTTGCACATCTCCGAAGCAAGTGGTACTAAATTCGCAGAAAAGACAGTGTCGCATGCTCAAACTTGAGACTTGCAGGCTTCCCTTCCATCCTGTTTGCACAAATGCCCTCCCTCTTCTTCCCATTCTTCTTCTTCCTCTCCTTCTCCTCCGCCACCTCCTCTTCCCCTTCCCCTTCCCCGTCTTTATCCCCCCACCCTTCTTCTTCTCCAACGCTACTACTATCTTCTTTCGTTTCTTCCCATTCTCCTTCGTCCTCCCCTCTTCTTCGTCCTCTTCCTCCTCTTCCCTCCGCTGCTCTTCTTCTTCTTCTTCTTCTTCCTCTTCTTCTTCTTCGACAACGACTGCTCACTTGCAGTTCTTTCTGTTCTTCTCGTTGTCCTTCGTCGTGGTCCTCCTCCTACTATCCCTCCCATTACTAACTCTCTCGTCTTTCTCTTCTTCCCATACTCCTCCTCTGTCCTCCTTCTCCTCCTCCCGTTCTTCTCCTCCTCCGTTTTTCTTCATCTTCTTCTCCTCCTCCTCCTACCTCCTCCTCTTCTTCCCCTCCTCCTCCCTACGTCCTCCTCCTCCTCTTCTTCTTCTTCTTCTTCTTCGTCTTCTTCTTCTTTTGATCACTGCTACCTTTCTCATCTTTCACTTCGTCCCATTCTCATGTATCCTCCTCCTCTCCTCCTCTTCCTGTTCTTCTCCTCCCTCATCTTCTTTCTCCTTCTTGCTCCTCCTCTCCCCGCTGTTCTCCACCGTCTTCCTCAATCTTCTATCAACATCAAACGTCATACATCGTGCACCTCTCTCTCTCTCTCTCTCTCTCTCTCTCTCTCTCTCTCTCTCTCTNGAGAGAGAGAGAGAGAGAGAGAGAGAGAGAGAGAGAGAGAGAGAGAGAGAGAGAGAGAGAGAGAGAGAGAGAGAGAGAGAGAGAGAGATGGTTAGATGGACAGCTGAAGAGCAGAGGGCTCGAGTGGAACGTGCCTTGTGAGCACAGATCCAGATAACCCCTATGGATATCTGGAGCCGGAAATTGAAGGTGGGCATTCCCCACCCTAAACCCTAAACCCCAAACCCTAAACGTAAAAGATAGTACTTTCCATACCTCCATACCTTTCTTTCTGTGTACTAGCGTCTTCACTCGAATATGACACCCCATCGTTATCGCTGTACCTAGACTGAAAGTTGCACCAAATACGGCTATAATGACCCGGTGTTCTATTGGGGTGAAGATGGTAGCCCGCAGTGCACACACAGAAACTCAAAATTGAATAGTGCTGCTAAGGTTTTTAAACCATCACCACCTTTTCCCACTTGAAAAAAACATAGTTGCGGCTTGTTTACTGCTCAGTCGCAGCTCGTTTACGGCTCAGTTGTGACTCATTTACGGCTCAGTCGTGGCTCATTTACGGCTCACGGCTCTGCATTTTTCAGGGGTCCGGATATTGGATCAAAATGGCTGGTGGTGCCAGCCAAAAGCATGAGACGTGTCGGGTTGTTTCTTTTTTGGCATGCAGTGTGAAAATTTAGCCTCGGCATCAATAGCCGGGCGTGGAACTGGTTTGTTTGTTTGTTTGTTTGTTTGTTTGTTTGTTTGTTTGTTTGTACACCTTGCTCTTTTCCACTTTCCATTACGCTGTGCTACTGGACCCTATCAAACTATCGGAGAGTAGGGGCTAGGGGCATAGTTGCACCGCTCGCCGTCTGCCAATGTTTTGAGTGCATCTGTATGTGGAGTTTGTTCAGATGCATTCAAAAAAGAGAAGGCGCTAGGGGCCTAGTTGCACTGCTCGCCGACCAGTCGCCGTCTGCCAATATTTGGAGAGTGCACCTGTATGTGGAGTTTGTTCAGATGCATTCAAAATCTTGGGGGATGGCGAGTGCTGCAACTAGGCCCTAATACGAAGTTATGAATCTTAATTGCGTGGGGGATCCGCCCTTGAGATGTAACTACTACTGTACCCTGTCTACTTTGACTTTGAGAGTTACTGGAGCCATCTTCACCCCAATACAATGTTCGGTCATTGTTGCCGTATCTAGACTCAAAGTTGCCCCTAATGCAGTTACAACGACTAAACGCTGTATTCGGGTAAACAGGTAGGATCGTCTGGACAAAGAATGATAACCAGGAGAGGGAGACAGGTTGTAGCCTTGCAGGTTCAGCTCCGCCATCCTGTGCACCTATTTCCGGACAAATAGTCTTGTTGACAGTGGAAACTTTTTTTTTTTTTTTTTTTTTAAGAAAAATATGGACCATTTCTCGATTTATGTGTGTCATCCTTGCGCAGGGGCCATGCTAATCTTCTCTGTATCGTTCCAATTTTAACGGATGTCCCGAAGGACAATGACAGTGGAAACTTAAAAAGTCTTTTTTCGGATGTGCTCTGCTCTGAGGAACTGTACGCAGAGTTGTGTCTTGTCGTTGTTGTTGTTTTTGAAGAATACACTTGCCCGGGACCACTTGCCCGGGACCACTTGCCCGGGACCGCTTGCCCGGGACCACTTGCCCAGGACCACTTGCCCGGGACCACTTGCCCGGGACCACTTGCCCAGGACCACTTGCCCGGGACCGTTTACCTGGGACCACTTGCCCGGGACCACTTGCCCAGGACCGCTTGCCCGGGACCACTTGCTCTGAGGCAAGACAGTCAAAACTCTAATGTGCTCTGCTCTGAGGAATGCAAGGAATGTGCGCAAGAGCGATGTACAGAAAACCGAGTTGCGAAATCACACAGATGTCCAAGTAGTCATGTACAAGCAGAGAGCGCAAATGCGCCGAGATTCCATCCAGATGAGAGCAATACAATGAACTCGCGAGCCAATGTCCAAGCCCTCAGGCCACACCAACACCATATCCAATGTCGCTCCTACTCTGTCCGGCATCCAGCGTCCAGCCTGCACTGCTCGCCTATCCTACTACACCAGCATTCACGCAACAGGCTCACTTCGACTTTGAAGACCAAGGTACATGACGTCAACACCATAGCTGACCGTCCCTCATGCACCAGGTATGTATCTAGTCTCTCCCCTCATCACCCCTGACTTTCCACAGTGTGCATTCTCAACACCCAAAGACCACCATCGCCATCCAGACCTGCGCCCCACAGCCTGGCTATGGCTGCCGTGCGCCCACTGCCCATCAGTGCACCTCACACCCCGGCGCCCATGCACACGACCCAGCCGGCAGCTTCGTGCAGATCACGAAGTTGTAACGCAGCAGCGTGGCTGCATTGCCTGCCTAGGCCAGAATGCCCTGCCCAGCGATGCTCACTTTCCTATATGGAAAGTGAGCTCAGCGTCTGCTGCCTCTGGTCTTGGCTTGGTGAGCATCCAGTAGCTTCCGGGTCTCAATGCCTGCGCCCAGGCCCAGTTGCAGTTACGGGCCTGGGCCCTTTACAGTTGGGCATGTCCAGGCAGTCCACAGACCTCCACATGTTCACTGTGATCTCATTGGCTCACGGCCACTATGTGCCAACAATGCTGCAATCTCATTGGTCCGTGGCTGTTGTATGATGTGTCGGCCTCTGAAAGCACACGCCCAGGGCCTTAACTGTACAGGGCCCTGGCTCAACTGCCCGTCGAGGCTGCAACTTCCGGAAAGAGCCTAGGGAGGCTCACGTTGCTCTCTAGCCAACTGGCGTGCTGCAACTGTCTGATACCCACATATGGAAAATGTCAAATCTTGGCCTCTTGTGAATATTCAGGCCCGCCAACTGGGTGGGTACAGGGCTTGCGGAGGGCCTCTGCCTAGAACATGTGCATGTCTGTTAAGGGCCCCGCGAGGGCTCATTCCCCGCACATATACAACCCCTTTAGGGTGATCACACTGGCCTGTACCCAGGCCTTGGCACATATTGGCAGGCCGGCCTTCACTTTAGGGCGGGCAAGGCCTTTCCCAGCACTGCCGAGGGGTCAAATCCTCGCAGGAATTGTACGCAGAGCTAGGCTACCAGAG